GAAGGGAAAATAACTCTACTAAAAGACCCAAAATCTAATTTTTAAAAAGTTTATTTCTTGAAAAATGTATAAAATACTAAACAACTAGGACACTTTACTTTCATAAACTAATAAAAAGCAAGTGAAGTAAAACTTTATAACTCGTCTTCATGATAAAAGAAAAGGATTCACCTATTACAAGTTTACTATCTCAAAATATAAAGTTAGAAGGGGCAAAATACAGTCTCACAAATCAAACTAATCTAATTAGAGCATAATAATCAAAAATCTAGCCATTCAATGGAAGAAGAATATAGATTCTTTAGTAACACTGTTAAAGGGAAAAAAAAATGCATAAATTATAGACTCTCCAGATGACAATAAAGATTAATAACAAGCAAAAATCCCAGGAATTAATTAAAATTTCTCTCAAGATAGTAAGTAAAAAGATTCTGTGTAAGAAAATAAATTAATATGTTTGGAAGACTAAACACCACTAGATATGTAGGAAATCTACAAAAGCAGAGATTTCTATTATGTGAACAACATAAGAAATGTTTGGAAAAAAAAGTCTATTTACATAAAAATCTTTCTAGTCAACCATGCTGTTTATGTCATAAGTAAGGAGTGGCAAACTATGCTCTGTAGGCCAAATCTGGCCCACTCCCTGTTTTTGTAAATAAGGTTTTATTGGAAAACAGATACATTCATTTATATTTGTTTACAGCTATTCCCACACTACAGTGGCAGAGATGAGTAGTTGCAACAGAGACTATGTGGCCAACAAGGCCTAAAATACTTACTATTATTCTCTTAATTAAAAAAAAAAAAAAAAAAAAAAACTTCTGCTAACCCCTACTGTAATGAATAAAAATTTATTTTCTCTTTATTTAGTACCTCAGACGATGTATAAGTAACATCACTAAGATTTTCTTCCCGAGCCTGCTGTTCCAAGAGTTGGAGTTCATATTCTGTAATATCTAATGACATCAAACCAATTCTTTCTGAATTATCTTTCAATTTACTGTTTTCTATTCCATCTTCAAACCTATCTTCTTCTTGTTTCACTTCATTTTCAAGTACATTTTCTCCATCATGTTTAATTAAATTATCGAGTGGTATGTCCCATGTCTTATCTTTAGCAAAAATTTTGTGTTGTCTAATTTCTTCCTGTTGTATTACACCAACAGTTGGGTCTTCCAATGACAAGTCAAAGTCAATGCTGGGCCTCACTCCTGCCTCAGTTTTAGCAGAACCAAATATTATCTTCCTCAATGAACACAAATTTTTTGAAATATCCTTCAACAGTACAGAAACCCTAAAAACATAAATTAAGAAAAGTTAATTCAACTCTAATTGCAGTAATTATCAGCACAAGTTTTGAAGTTCGTGAGTGGTACAGTTAACACGTTCAGTTACTAACCAAAAGACTGGCAGTTTGAGTCTACCCAGAGGTGTCTCAGAGGAAAGGCCTGGTGATCTACCAAAACAATCAAACACTGAAATCCCTCTGGAGCATACTTCTACCCTCACACACATGGGGCCACTACTAGTCGGAACAGATTCAACAGTAATTGATAAGGGGTAGAAACTCCCTTAACTGATCTTCATCTAAATAAGCCACTAGATATAAGTTGTTCTTCATATCCTAACACTCACTACATGCTTACAGCTCACAGTCTACTCTCTAGTACAAGTAGGCACTTCTGGATCAACAACCTACTTGTACTCTTACCAAGAATCAGTAGCATTTGCTCCCCAATTTGTTTACGGCCATTATACCTTCTACAGTAATTAATTTAATTAAATGAATATGGCACATGACTTCAAAAGTCAAAACTATTTTATTGAATACTACGTTGAATATATTGAAAGTCTTAGCCAATTTCTTTATTTGTAATTAGTTTGATCAACTAGGGTCAAAAGTGCTGTAAAAGTTTAGAAGGAAAATCATAAAACTTTCTAGAACTCTGCACTCAAATTAAGAAGCTCTAGTGGCACAGTGGGTAAGGTATTTGGCTCCTAACCAGAAGATCGGTGACTCAAGCCCACCAGCTGCTCCAGGAGAGGTAGATGAGGTAATCTACTTCCATAAAGATTTACAGCCTTAGAAACCCTATGGGGGTCACTCTGAGTCAGAATTGACTCAATAGCAGGCAGTGGGATTTTGCACTCAAATTGTTACAAGTCTCTTTAAGTTTTCACTTAAAAAAGACTGAAAGTTATAGATGAAACATTAATGAGCATAGTTCAACAAGAAACACTCTGCAGAATTCCAAATAGCAGGACTATTTAATGAAAAAGCTTTGACATACATCATCAAAAGATTATAATCAATTGTTCATTAAAAAACATTTCTATGATTCCATACTTAATCTAGCTTTTTCAAATCACTGATCAACTAACAGTCCCAAATGCAACAGTAGCAGTGCTTATGCTAGAATTCTAAAATGATACTGTTTCACATCTCTCAAAATCTCCAAACCGGGCACATACTCTTTGAAACAGAAAGAAACTTCACGTCAGTAGATGACTATAACAAGTGAGAAATATGAAGATGCACATGATTAAATATGAACTAAATTTCTTAACTCTTTAATTGCAGTTGGGAGCTCTGGTGGTGTAGTGCCTAAGGCATCTGCCTGCTAACCAGAAGGCTGGCAGTCCAAACCCTTCTGGCAGTCCAAACCCTTCCTCAGAAGGAAGACTGGGCAATCTACTTCTATCGAGATACCACCTCGGAAACCCAAGGGGGGCTGTCGCTCTGAGTTGGCAAGTGACTCAACGGCAGTGAGTTTTAGTTTTCTTTATAACTGTAGTTATTAACATATAACATTTTAAATAAGTGACTTTAAAACAGCTGTATTACAAAGCCAAACATAGTTAATGAAATGGAAAAACCACTGCTAGAATTTAAACAAGACACTGTTTTGTCCATTCATTGTGGGGTTTACTAAAGCAGTATTTAGGTACTTCATAAAAGTGTATGGGAGCTCTGGTGGCATAGTGCCTAAGGCATTTGACTGCTAACCAGAAGGCTAGTGGTTCAAACCCACCAGCCACTCCTCAGAAGGAAGATTGGGCAATCTACTTCCATAATGATACTGCCTCGGAAACCCAAGGAGAGGTCATTGTGAGTCGGATGCAATTAGACAGCAGTGAGTTTGGTTTTGGTGGTCATAAAAGCATAATTTAGAGGGAAGAGGAGGAGTAGAAGCAAGCCTTAATGGGCCAGTGGTTAAAGCACTCAGCAGTGAATCAAAAGGTCGGCAGTTTGAACCCACCAGCTACTCTGTGGAAGTAAGATATACCAGTCTGCTTCCACAAAGATTTAGAGCCTTGGAAACCCTATGAGGCAGTTCTGTTGTGTCCTACAGGGTCACTATAAGTCTGAGTCTACTCAATGACAATGGGTTTTTTGTTTGTTTACAGAGAGTATGATGAGAAAAGAGGCATATCTGCTCTATCAACTATTTAATTATTATTTTGGTTTAGCTCTTCAAATTTTTCTGTATTTAAATCAAAACTTAATAAAATCTGTCAGTTCTTTTAAAGTTTTATACTGATAATTCAAATTAAGATTTGACCTTTCATGGGAATAAGCTATCAAAAGTGATAAACTATTTTATGAGTTATGTCCTCACTGAAGTTAGCACCATACCCAGCATTCCAAAATTAAGTTCAAGCTTAAGACGGCAAAGTACATCAACATAAACAAAATGAAAAGCAAACTTAAGTTCAAAAATAAAAACTCACAATACTCTAAAATCTTCAAATCTTACAAAGAATACTTAGCATTAAATAGCTATTCAAATACAGGAACTGCTTATAAATAAATATTTTAGTAGGAACAAATAAATAACACAATTTGTTAAACGTACAGGGAATTCTGTAACCATATGTTTTGGTTACTTCGTGTTGTTCTAACAGAAAAATACCACAAGTGGGTGGCCTTAACAAAAAGGAGTTTATTTTCTTATAATTCTGGAAGCTAGAAGTCCAAGTTCAAAGTGCCAAGCTCTAGGGGCTGGGTGAAAACCCCTTGACCTTGGGCTTCAGAGCTCTGCCTCTACCTCCTGGCCCGCTGGAGCTAGAGGCATCTCTTCACTCAGGCAGCTGCTGACTGCTGAAGCTGACAAACCCAAGGTCAACAAGTAAAATGCCACAGTCCCAAAATTATCACACCACATAGCTGGCCACTAATTCAAGTCCATTAACAGTCCCAGGATCGGCAGACAACACAGAAGGCTGCTGAATGACAACATAAAATTTAGTTTATCTAGTTACATGTGAGAACCAAGAGGGAAAAAATAAAGCTTCTGAGTAGTCAAAATACATGTCATCATCAGTGTATTTAAGTTCTTTACTGTACTTCCCAGAGATGTCCATGAGTCCATGTTCAAAGCATATTTTCTTCTTTTTTTTTTTATAGGTAGTTTGACAAGTATAAATATCTAGTTTCCAGTGTTCAAAGTGGACTCAAAGTGCAGACTAAATATTAATGATGAATGATATGCACTGACAACAGCAGGAGAAGAACTAACAACATGAAATAGGAGCTCTGGTAGCAAAGTGCCTAAGGCACTTGACTACTAACCAGGAGGCTGGCGGTTCAAACCCACCAGCCACTCCTCAGAAGGAAGATTGGGCAATCCTATTGCCGTAGTGATACTGGTCGGAGACTCAAGGAGGGGTCGCTATGAGTTGGGGCCACTTGACGGCACATAACAACAACAACATGAAAGAGATGTGACTAGTTCTTGTCTTGATACTGAAACTTGGCAAGATCCACCTTTACTAAAAATGAATCTAGTATTTCCCATTCTTAAATTTTATGAAAACTTATTTACCTTGGATAATACAAAGCTAAGCATTAACTATATGCAATTTATATCCAGTATGTATTTTAATTGCTAGAACAAAAATCTGAAAAATATATAAAACTCACCCAAAAGGAAACTTTCTTTCTTTCATGGTGGGGAAAAGGTAAAAATTAGTAAGAAATGGTCTTGTTGGTATCCTCCCTCCCTCCTGTTTGACATTTACATCTTTCAGAAATTCTCAGTTACATGAAAACTAATAAAACACTATGCTAGGGGGAAAAAAGATTTTGGAAAAAAATGCTGAATTTCTGTATTGTAATTTTAAATCAATTAATCAAAAGCTACTGCAAATCTCATTCAAAAAGAACACATTAAAATTACATTTTGTAAGAGGCAGAATTCTTTCAATTCCAACTAACTGCCTCAAATTTCTACAAAATATTTATTGCCTCAAAATTTTATTACCACACTGTAACTATCCACTATTCAAGAGTGTTCCCATCTTTAGAGATATAGCTATGTAGCAGTTAAGGCCAAGATCCAGAAAGAATTACCTATACAGAACCTGTAAGTCAAGGTTTATTAATCTGTATGGAACATTTTACTCAAATATCTCAAACTACGTAATTGTTTAGCTATAAAATGATCTTTAAAATCTGAACGCCTTTTGTTCTAATAGTCTACTAATTAGGTAGAATTCTTATATAAGAACCAGAAAAAGTATAAAACCTACTTTTATTTATAGATTTCAACTGAGTAAACTGTAAATGTAATTAAATGAAAATGCTATAGATTTGAATATTAAATATTTTCCTTGATGTGCATTTACGAATTTTATTCCTTTTGATAAGGAAATATAATAAAAATATAGTTTATGTTTCTTTACTTCATAAAATATCCTAAAAAAGCAAAGGAAAAAAGCTTAAACCTTTTGATGTACTATTTCACAATTTAAAATGATTTCTGATTTATACAACAGTCTATGTGTACAGAGTGTATTCAAACAAATTCATATGAGTCTACCTTAATGAATATCAATACTTCATATAAAGGAAAATGCAACGACAACAAAAAAGAATTGACAAAAGACAGGTAATATTTAACCTCTGTGGATTTTCCAATTTTCTTAAAGTGTCAGGAAGATGCTTAGCCAGATCCATCATCTCTTCAGATATTGAACTCAACTGTTTTTTCACATCACTAGGTAGTATTTTCTCCTCTAGGGGAGGAAAAAAAAATCAACATTAATTTTCAAACCAAAAAGCACAGATATTTATTTAGCCATTTCATTAAATACTATTAGGGCTTGATTTTCATTTTCATTTTTCTTTCTTTACATAAATTCCAAGAAAGATTTCCTTATCCAATTCCAAAATCAGTCAATTACTTCTCTTTCAAAATCTGGTTATAATTTTAGAATAAATAACAAATGGTCTATGTTCATAGAAATTACAACTCCATGGTTATCAACCTAAGCAGATAAAGGTAGAAATGAGAATCTGAATCCATCCTTCCTACTTCAAAATCAGTAATCAGTAACACCATGTGGGCAACCAATTACTATACAGTTTAGTAAACATATTCTTCCTCACAGCATATCCTTAGTTTCCCTATACCAGTCATGACCAAAACAAAAAGGAAGGTTTTCTAATCAATAATCACCTTAAAAACTCTCAATTCCATTTTGTGTGGTGTATCCCTCTCCACCATCACCTTGCCATGCTTGGTATATTTCTCATACATTTCATCAGTACTTCCTCTTATCCTTCAGAAACCCCAGATCTTCAAAACCACCAGTTACCTCATTGCCAGGCTATCTTGTGATCTCAAAAAACACATCCCCTCACTGACTGAAGATTTTAGCACCTGATTCATTCACTGTCTTTCCCACCATGACTACTCCTGTGATTATTCCTATGATTCCAATATACACATATATGATCCATCCAAAAGTATGGTCTTTCAGTTCCTTGGCCTTTCCATTTCCAATAATCTTTCCTCAATTGACTTCAGCCACCCATTCCCATGGTCATACCAATGACTTTGCAACTAATAATAAAGTCACCAATTCCAAAAAGTCCTTTCCTATAAAGAAGTAAAGTAGAGCATTGAAATTTGCATTTACTGACCCAAATTCTGACTCATGGATTCTCAAATTAAAACCCTAATCTCTTTTATACATAATAAGCTTTTGTATAATTAAATTAATGCTACCATGTGCTTCCCAGATTTTCTCTCCTTTTTAGCTAAAAATCCTAATTTCTTATCTGACATTCCCTATTGAATAAAGTCCAAAGTACTAATGTCTTATATTTAGGCTCTTCCGTGACATGAATCCACCCTCCCCTTACAATGTGACATTATACAATCCAGACATACAACTTGTTGTTTCTCAATTTTTGCTTATAACCTGTGATAACTTTTCTTCATCTCTGTTAAAATAATTTCCATAAACAATTAGACATGATATGCATCAAATTGTTAAAGTGATTATTTTTGGATGATGAAATAGAATGCTAAAAGGAGAATATTTACTTATTACTTTATACAGCTATTTTACTACTTTTTTAAAATTTTTTATTTCATATGCTCATTTCAACAATTTATGTTTCAATTTTTTAATTATGATTTGGGTGAAAATTTACAGAACAAATTCACTTTCTATATGGCAGTTCACATACACTTTGTCTCATGACATTGACCATAATTTACCACAATGCAACAGCTTCCATCTCATTTCTTCCCGACAGTTACCTCTTCCCTGTGTCCATCCCTCCATGCACTAAAGCACCCTGAGCTGTCTCCCTGTGCATAAGCAGCCCTTCTTTCTCCCATAATTGTAATCTCCAAGGAACATGTGCAGCCCCAGGCACATGTATGTGCAACTCATATACTTGGTCTTTTGTTTGGCTGGAAGCCACAGGTGTGGGTTCAATTCCAAACCTGAAGGGCAGCTAAGGGCCATAGTCTCAGGGGATTGACCAGGCTCTATCGGACCAGCAAGCCTAGTCTTCCTCCCCCCTTTCTTTTTTCATCCAAATGATCTTGAGTTTTGTTCCACATTTTTCTCCCTCTTTATCCAGAATCTCCTACATAGATCCCCTTCCAAGTGGTTAACAGTGGTAGCCGGGCACCATCTACTTCTTCTGGTCTCATAGTCATATAGGCTGAAGACTGCACAGTGTTCCAGTCGCTAGGACTAAGTGTTCCCATGAATTTTTGGATTCCTTCATTCTTCTTTGCTCTGGACAAGGAGAGACCCATCATTGCATCTAGATGGCAGCTTGGAAGCTTTTAAGATTCCAGTCACTACTTGCCAAACAAAGTAGGAGGTGAAAAATGTTTTGGGTAGTATGTTATGCTAATTGAGGTGATGTCCCCTGTAACTGTGGTCCCACGCCCACAGGTTCAACTACTCGGTCCCTCTGGGTAGCTGGCTGTGACCAAGCAGTGACTGTAACCTTGCCACTTGTCAGCTCTACTATACACCTAGGAATTCAGATCATAAAAATAAACTTATAGGACCACTGTCTGCCAACCCTATACATGATCTTGGGTACACTCCCCACTTGATAGACATACCTAATAGTTCAGCCTGTCCACCCATCTATCCACCCGTATACCCATGTTTACCTTCACTGACAATGCAATACTGTATGTGCCAAAGGGTTCATCTTTGTTGTCTGTACCTCATGTACCTCTCTTTGTCTTTCTCTTCCTCAATGCCACCATATTGAGCACTCACATTTGGTACATTGCCCTTCTCTTCACCCAAATCAATACTTTATCTATCTAACAGCATTCCCTCCCCTCCCCTCCCACCC